ATATATATATATATATATATATATATATATATATGTATATATATATATATATATATATATATATATATTTGTATTATTGTGATAATGATTGAAATTTAAAAATTATTTTACTATGTCTAAACTTTATAGAAATATGTATTTTGTATAATATTTTCAAAACTCATTTTTGTATAATCAAATTCCTATAAAGTCTAATTTTAAAAACTATTCATAAAACCAGAATATTATAATTCCATAATATAATACTTCATATAATCTGAATTCAACTTAAAAATTATAAATAAATAAAAAATACTAATAAGATTATGTATCTAAAACTTTCAAGATTAATAGCAATCCATCGAATCTAGGATGATCAATAGAGTTTATTATTAATTTCATTAGGCTAACCAGTATAACCGGACCAACAAACCTTATAAAAAGGCATGCTTATCTAAATACGTCATGGGTCTCATAATGATCTAAGAATGTTCAATGGCGTTTTTGAAATAACATAAAAGAAAAGCCAAACAATATTTAAAAAGAAAAAACAAGGAAATCCCATTACAAAATCCTCCAAAGTTTCATTTTTATACAAACAACCAGTCCTAAATTTAAAACTTTTTCAGGCTTTTTTTATAAATAAAAAAATAAATAAATAAATAATAAAAAAAAAAAAGAAACAAACAAACTTTAATTTGCTATAAACACCCCGCTGGAAGTTGGCGACCATATGATTTCCCTTTAACATTCATACAAGATGAAGCCGCAGGTCCCTCAGGCCCACGATATTCCAAGTTAATATTCACGAGGTTGACACCTTCACATGGCACGTGTTTGCTACATTGTATTTTAACTGCAATCTTAGAACTCGATGTCCCATGCACTTTTCTAAATGTCACATTCTTTATTTGAACATTCGATTGCGCCTACAAAAAAAACAGCACAAAACCTCACATAACAATCCAGTAACACTGTAACAGTAAAGTAACAATAACAATGTATTAATGATTTACCTGGCCGTTGCAAGGAGGCTGGGGACAATATTGTTGGTCGATGAAAATAGGGTTATTGACATTTTCCATGA